ACAGTGAAGGTTTTATGTTATGTTATTCCTTAACAATGATGCAAATGGTAATAAGTAAATACTAGAACCATGATTCAGGCTTACCGATGGTCGTGTAGTTGATGTAGTAGTAAGCAGCAATCATGCCAAGGTTCAAGGGAGACACGTTGATCTCGTCTTCAATCGAGATACACTGTGGAGAAACAAGAACACTCATAAAATAGAGTCAGGGTTACATCTCTGGGAGTAGAAATAAAATGGATGAAATGTATGTTTCGAAAAATCATTGGGTGTTTCGACAATGCAAATTAACAAAACTTTCGCAAAATCATATACAGAATGAGACTTGATTTCCGATTTCAATTGTTCCTGAGTTTTTACCGGTTTTCAGGATTTCAACCGTGACACAATAACAATCCGGTTAACAGAAATGGCTCCTGGATAAAGATGATGAAAGACTTTTATCTAATTTTACTTTGCAAGTAAATTGGAGTGGGTCGTGACTGCTATTACTAAGCACAATTTAAACTTCGAGGTCAAACCCCAATGTACTTTGTATAGAACGCGTTACTTAAAGGGGTTCCAGTATCAATTAGAAATCAGACAAACATTCCTCTAAACTTTTAAGGATTGGGCAGTCACTTAAAATGTGACTCAAACAATTAAGCTCATGTTAAAGGCAACTTTGAGGATGATCCTGGCCACCCATTTCAGCTGCATGTAAAGAGAAAACCCCGCTCATAGACCCAAGTTTCAAGGAAAATGTGATCTGACAATAAACGAAATCGAATACACTCCTAAAAAATGGAACTAGACGATAGAGAGAGTGTTTGGTTTCAGTTTTGATTGCTCGTCCTAAGTGCTTTGTGTTGTGAACAGCTTTTTCATATCTGTGGTGAACAGTAAGTACAATATTATACCTTAGATTGTTCTAGGTCGCTGAGAGTGTTCTCCACCATCTCCGAAAGATGATCAGACAAGTGTCTATGCGATACACCTACAATGAAAAATGTTCTGGATTCATGTATACAAACAACAGCTTAGTAAATGTGTCTCTGGTATTTCCAAATATATGTAATGACAACATTGAACTCGACTAGAGTGAATCATTTACTTTCTAACGATACAGAGCAATTGCTGACATTGGGCAAATATTGGGGGCACACCTATTGTTTTGTTAAGACGATATCTCATTTGTGTATTGTTTAAGAACAAAAGATCATTGTCTTCCAAATATTTCCCCCATCCCCCCAGGTGTCCACCACTGATACAGAGTGAAGATGGCATTTCCTATTTTTATTTAAAGCGTTCAGGGGTATAACATTTAGTTAACAGTTGTAAGACCTAAGTGTTGCAAGTAAAGGTTTACCTGACGGCCCTCTTTATTATAGTGTGCGGCTATTTGTTCTACGCAAAAGGCTCTAGATCTCTAGCTTGGTCAGGTCGACCAAGATTTTAATAGACCATTCAAAAATAAGTTATTGCATCTGCTCAATCGGTGAATCACTATTGTGTCTGTTTCGAAAGACCTTTTTGACGTGATTAACTGCAGCCAATGTGAGTAGGGAAGACTGTCAAAAGCGTTAGAGGTTAAGGATGTGGTGCGGTGCTTCTCGTATTTGTACGCAGTGAATGTAGTGTTAGAGAGGACACTTCTCCTATGTCAACAGCGTAATAAGACGCATAACCACTGTGGTTCCTTATCCCGCTCATGTGAATCTCTCTAACATAACCTGGAAAATATGCCGTTCATAAGGTCTATGACGGCTAGAAAAGGTCAATGAATGAAAAAATTGCTCTCCGTGTCCAAACTCTAAATCCTAAAAATTATGCTGCTAATTCGTTAATTTTCCCTACAGATGCTCTTGCCAAAGAACGAATATCCGGATTAAAGGTAAATACCCAGATAAGAGTTGGTGCCTGGATAAAAAATGATACCGGAGTAAAATGAAAATACCAGACAAAGATATGGATACCCAGAAAACTAGGTACAAAGTGGATACTTCTAAAGTGGATACCCAGGGAAAAGAGGATACCCGGGAAAATATACGCTCCCGTCAGCAAAACAAAAAAGAAAGTAACAACGAACACATATGCTATAGAAATCATGTGGCTACACAAAAGCACAGATGACGAAACAACGGCTCTCACCTTGCAAATTGTAGTAATTCGGGTTCTGTGTCATTCTGCGGTAAAGGAACGTCCATGTTAAATAATCAACTGCATCCTGTTTATTGCTGATCGTCTTGGTAACAACTTCGGCATTGAAGTGATCGTGTAAGCAGTGATCCAGATGTGACTGAAAAAGAAGCGGAATCTCAAAATAACGCAAGCAAATGACAAGCACTTCCAAGTGTGAAACACAAGTTTGTTATATAAACCATTAGTGGAAATTTATGGAAACCAGCAGAGGATTGGTGAAATTTAAAGAAAGATGGAGGGAGCCATGTTTTAATGGATATTTGTTCAACTCATTCTTATTTCCAGAGAAAGTTTTCAAGGGGTTCTGACCCCTTGAAAGTGAGTTGCAGCAAACTAAAGAAATAGCAAAAACAGACTTCGATGGAGAAATCACAAAATATACATATCAGAAGTAATTATTTAGTAAAACAAAAATTGTAAAATGTGCTACAAATTAAATTAAGGAGCGAAAAACACTTGAATTTCTTGCAAACTAAACACTAAAACATGAAAAAGAGAGCAAGCTTGTGAATCTCGTTCACGGATGTTGGATGGAATTTACTTCAGCCTTATATGCTTGTTCCCGCTTTCGTATTTAATTCTAAGTTTTTAAGTGACATTTAAGTGCCAAGAAAGGCCGGGCATTCACGTTTGATGTTGTTTACTGTGTAGATGAATTAGTTTTAAAAGTTCTGTTACTCACTTCAACTGGTAGCGGCTCATAAAGGAACTTTTTGTAGAATTCCTTTTTTGATGACAAGCAAAGGATAACAGCTTTTCCTGTATACAAAAAACATATTACTTTTGCTGAAGAAGTGTATAATATATCTTGTCATGTGTCTTTGACTTTACTACGCCTTCAAAGGCCAACTCATGTTCAACTATTGAAAGACTTTTATTTACCAACCACCTTTAAATTAATGAACCAGATTAACCACAATATGCACATTCTTGCCAATCATCACAAAATATATCTGAAGTTCTGCAATACAACTCATGAAAATAGAATTACATGAAATATTTATAGAAAGAATATGAAGATAGAATTACAAATGGTACTGGAAAAAAGCTGCAGGAAAAACAAATTGTATAGAAATACCTGCATCATCAATGAGTTGCCTGTTTGCTCTTCCGACCATCTGAAGAACATCGGTAACGGGATAATCCATATACCTAACAAAAAATGACGTCATCACTGAATTCTTGAAGTAATGGTTGAACATATTAAGCAATGACGAAACACTGAACCGTGCATCCAATTCACTTCATCCAAGGCAACCAATCACAAGAATCGTCTGTTGCCACAAGTATTGATTATTCAAGTTAACGCAAGTAAAAAAATATCCCTTATCTAAATGCCATGTTTGGGTTCATACTTCAAACTCAACTCAGTTCACTCTTAAATTCCACTTAATACAGATAATTTATTAATCATAAAGTTAAGCAGATGTCAACAATAAATATAGAAGGCAAATATTATAGCCAAATAATCAAAGAAAATAGGCGGAAGAAAGGAGGTTTTGTGGACACTCTCTTGAGGAAAGTCTTCTAAATTGGAAACCTAGCAGTAGACATAGCATCTATATTCAGAAAAAAATTTGATTCTATAATTCATATCATACACTGCTCGCCATCAGCTCGGTCGTGACAAAATTCTCTCAAACATCAAATAGTTTAACAGCTTTAGAGAAGCCTTGCTGGTAAGGCTATTGAAAATTAGAACATCAAGATACTATAGAAGGCAAGGATCGTTTAAAGCTACAATGAAAGCTAAAAGTACTGTCTCAAGAGAGAAAAGCTAAAGGAGTTTAGATAATCTGATATTTTTGGGCACATTTTCAATATGCAGGTCTGGTATTACTTACGTGTGTATTTTCCCTTCGTAGTACAAGGTGTCCATGATAACAACTAAATATGAGTAGCAAGTGACTGCCCAGCAGAGGTTTCGTGAGACAACCAAAAGCTACAGAAACGGTAGAAGAAGATAAATTTCAAAAAGCAGCAATGGATAGTGTAAAATAAATGTAAAAGAAGTCCATTATAGAAGGTTCCAAAACAGTGACTCGATCTTCGCGTGAACATGACATATGTACATAAACCCATACAAGATAAATTTGACGGGTACTTAACTGTTAAATTTGAAAGCCAAGCTGATTTTTTAACCCGTTAAAGTTGAAAGAATTCAATTTGTAGGATAATATCAACAAGGCTAACATTGAAACGTAGATTCAGAGCCGGAAATCAAATGTTCTGCATGCGATCAAAAACCATGAAGCTAAACCAACCTGAACTGCTCCAGATGTGAAGAGTTGCTCGACCACTTTCACTTCAGTATCCGAAAGTCCTTCGTGTAAATATCCAACACCATAAGTCAAGGTTTCTTTGAGGGTCTGTGACGAAATAATGAGGGGGTGTTAGATATGAATTTGAAATGAATTTACCAGAGTCCGGAAAAAATTACAGCTTCACATCTGTGAGCTGGAGAAGGGTTAACCAAAGATGCAGTACTTCAAGGAAGGCCAATTCATAACTTGACGAAAGAATATAAAGTGGGAGGAATTAGCTTTGTGCTTGAACTTTTCTTTTTTCCTGGTGTGTTTTCCTGGTTTTTTTCCGACAAAGTGTAAAGACCAAACAATTACTTAAATTGCTTACTTAAATTCCTGGATTATTTAAATTCCACTTTCTAAGAAACTTTTTCAGAAGATACAAGAAAAATTCGAGGCAAAGAGGGTAAAATTTCATCCAGAAAAGGTTGAGGCACTTTCTGAGCTCGGGAACTGATACTAGTTGGTATGAATCAACAAATGAGACGGCATCTGCCAATTTCATGCCATTACTGAATTGAAATCAAGTGAATAAAGAGAAAAGCAAAATAGACAGGGAATTTTGTAGAAAAAACTAGCAAACTGCCTAACCTCAAATTTTATTTCACATTCTTACTAAATCGACCATGGAGATTCCAAATCCAAGATGGGCCAAAAAAAATTATCACCGGAAGTTACTGTTTTTGATGACGTCATCAAAAAAATGATAAAAAATCTTTAAAAATCGGCCAAGGACTCGAACTCAATTTTTTTTCCATTTTTGCACTAAATTAACTATGCAGATTTCAAATCTGAGATGAAATGAAAAATATCTCGAACGGAAGTCAAATTTTGTGATGACGTCATCAACTTGGAGAAAATTCACTTTGAACCTTTTTAATTGTTTTCTCGCAACTATCATTGTCAAATATGTTCCATATTCGAATTGCACACATTCAGTGCTTTTAAAAGATGTATTGAATTTCTATTATACTTACTTTTAAACGTTCTTTCATGACGTCATCATCATTTTATGACGTCATCGCCTTTTAAAGGTAATTGAATAACGCGTGAAAGGATGCCTTAAAATCTTTAGCTAGTTAAAAAAGTCATTCAAAATTAAAATTTCGTTATATAGAAAATGATATGGATCCATTCATCCTTCATCACTGTCTCCTTTGCTGGAACTCCAGAAGAAAATGTAGTTCCACTCATCATCGTCTGCTTTAAGCTGATCACCTCACCATAATTTTTCCCATGGCCTAGTCCTCATTGGTTACGGAATTTTCTTCGATTTCATCACTAGAGCGCTGCAGATCTTGCAGTTTTTTAGCGGAGGGTGTGCGGGGCCCTGCACAAGATGAACATAATTTGTGTGAAAAAAATTTTGGAATTATTTTGCTGACTCCAGTATTTTCTGCAGATATTCACAGCTTTTTTAACGTTGACGATCGGATATTTTTGTCTTCAAGCCGTTAAGAAACGTTTTTCTCTGTATATCCTTTTCGTGCCATTTCTTATTTATTTATCAAATGTATGTTCAAAATTAGAATATGTAAAGAAATGTTTTTCCTATAAACCACACTAATACCACCTGTGGGCCAGATCATTCTTTCCATCGTATGTCTAACCAAAGCTTAAAGGCAATTTCTCTTACAATCTTCTTTTGATAATGTAACCAGTAGTAAATGCTTGTGTCAACCAGTATGGATCTGGTTGTAGAGCTTCTGATTATCTGTTTTTCATTGCCTTGCGAATTCTTACTCTTATCTGCACAAGTGTTTCATCACATTTCCCTTTGTATGATTATTTTTGCACAAATTTTATCGCTTTCGTGAGAATGTCTTTGCAGATTTTCTGTCTCATCGTAACTTTCTCGAGCAATTTTCCCTTTCCAGAACACTCCTAAAGCTTTTTAAAATGTTAGCTTTCCTTACAACAACATTACCGGTGTTGTTTTGCAGCCAATAACTGCATGAACAGCCGGTAGATTTTTGGAACTATCTAAACCCAGGTAAGATACGACGTTCCAAAATTAACGTACTTCTCGTTGTCAATCTTTAAGAAATATTTCCTTGAAGGCTTTTCACACAATAAGCAGTAAAAACTACATTAGTGTCCTTTCGACAACTAATAAATTTTATCGATGAGGAAAGAATGGAATATCAAGTGGATGTCAGCCTCTTCATAGCTGCAATTAAGCAAGTATGTCGTGGAATCTTTGATTATCTTTAAGGTTTGTTCTTTATTGGTAAACATGAGTGCTTTCAAAATTAACTGCTTTCCTTCTTAGCCCTGGTAGAGCCTTGAACTAGCTTTAGAAAGTAAGTTTGATACAACAAGAACCAGACCAGATCATACAAAATGTTCTTGACAAGTTATCAAGTAGGAACCGAGTTTTGCAATGGGTTATCGCAGAGATAAAGTGTTATACCCGCACTAAACCTATCTTATATTCCATTTCAAGGTTTTTGTTGCTGTTAGTGATGCTTGGCAGTCTTCTGCATTATAAATATCAAGATAATCCAAAGGCTTTACCAGGGCTAAGAAGGAAAGCAGTTAATTTTGAAAGCACTCGTGTTTACCAATAAAGAACAAACCTTAAAGATAATCAAAGATTCCACGACATACTTGCTTAATTGCAGCTATGAAGAGGCTGACATCCACTTGATATTCCATTCTTTCCTCATCGATAAAATTTATTAGTTGTCGAAAGGACACTAATGTAGTTTTTACTGCTTATTGTGTGAAAAGCCTTCAAGGAAATATTTCTTAAAGATTGACAACGAGAAGTACGTTAATTTTGGAACGTCGTATCTTACCTGGGTTTAGATAGTTCCAAAAATCTACCGGCTGTTCATGCAGTTATTGGCTGCAAAACAACACCGGTAATGTTGTTGTAAGGAAAGCTAACATTTTAAAAAGCTTTAGGAGTGTTCTGGAAAGGGAAAATTGCTCGAGAGAGTTACGATGAGACAGGAAATCTGCAAAGACATTCTCACGAAAGCGATAAAATTTGTGCAAAAATAATCATACAAAGGAAAATGTGACGAAACACTTGTGCAGATAAGAGTAAGAATTCGCAAGGCAATGAAAAACAGATGATCAGAAGCTCTACAATCAGATCCATACTGGTTGACACAAGCATTTACTACTGGTTACATTATCAAAAGAAGATTGTAAGAGAAATTGCCTTTAAGCTTTCGCTAGACATACGATGGAAAGAATGATCTGGCCCACGGGTGGTATTAGTGTGGTTTATAGGAAAAAAATTTCTTTACATATTCTAATTTTGAACATACATTTGATAAATAAATAAGAAATGGCACGAAGAGGATATATAGAGAAAAACGTTTCTTAACGGCTTGAAGACAAAAATATCCGATCGTCAACGTTAAAAAAGCTGTGAATATCTGCAGAAAATACTGGAGTCAGCAAAATAATTCCAAAATTTTTTTCACACAAATTATGTTCATCTTGTGCAGGGCCCCGCACACCCTCCGCTAAAAAACTGCAAGATCTGCAGCGCTCTAGTGATGAAATCGAAGAAAATTCCGTAACCAATGAGGACTAGGCCATGGGAAAAATTATGGTGAGGTGATCAGCTTAAAGCAGACGATGATGAGTGGAACTACATTTTCTTCTGGAGTTCCAGCAAAGGAGACAGTGATGAAGAATGAATGGATCCATATCATTTTCTATATAACGAAATTTTAATTTGAATGACTTTTTCAACTAGCTAAAGATTTTTAGGCATCCTTTCACGTGTTATTCAATTACCTTTAAAAGGCGATGACGTCATAAAATGATGATGACGTCATGAAAGAACGTTTAAAAGTAAGTATAATAGAAATTCAATACATCTTTTAAAAGCACTGAATGTGTGCAATTCGAATATGGAACATATTTGACAATGATAGTTGCGAGAAAACAATTAAAAAGGTTCAAAGTGAATTTTCTCCAAGTTGATGACGTCATCACAAAATTTGACTTCCGTTCGAGATATTTTTCATTTCATCTCAGATTTGAAATCTGCATAGTTAATTTAGTGCAAAAATGGAAAAAAAATTGAGTTCGAGTCCTTGGCCGATTTTTAAAGATTTTTTATCATTTTTTTGATGACGTCATCAAAAACAGTAACTTCCGGTGATAATTTTTTTTGGCCCATCTTGGATTTGGAATCTCCATGGTCGATTTAGTAAGAATGTGAAATAAAATTTGAGGTTAGGCAGTTTGCTAGTTTTTTCTACAAAATTCCCTGTCTAAAA